GGAGGAAATTAAATCATGCTGTCATGGGGGTGCATGCATTAATTCTGCATAAAGAGTGGATGATATGTGAATGCCTAGGCTTGCCTTTGTTCAGTGCCAGTGTCTGGTACACATCCAAATATGACAAAGCCGAAACCAAAAACTTGGGTTTAAAAGCAGTTGAAAAGAGGAAAAAAATACTAAATATCAATAATTGTCAACATAAATGTAAACTTGACCGTGTTGAAAAAATTGTTTTTTTCACTTCAGGAGGAGGATTTTTTTTTTTTTTGCGCAAGCAACAAAAGATCAATCAAATATTATGGATGTACCATATTAAAATTATAAAAAAGACATTGATTTATTTGCCAATATACAATAAATGGACAACCTTATTCTTTAATGTCTTGTCTAAAAAAAATTACAATTAAACCAAAAAAATAAAATAACGTCTTAAATGTGGATTTATGCATCACAGTGCAAAAAATGGACATTATATATCGATACAAATTTGTAAGTGTTCTTAAAGACTGGTGTTAAGTTGATAAGGGCCACAACGGAGCGCTTGAACGGATGTTCTTGTAACATGAATGAGCCATTTTGTAGTACTTGTAGCCTATAGACAATCATTTTGATGGGTAACGTTGACTGACATTATGCAGGTAAATCCTATTGATGATTTCTCAAGGGCTCTGTGTTGCAAGGTCAACACTACAGAGACTATTGCAATCTACTATAACAGAAATAAAGGGCAGGGTCAAAGCCACGATAATGATCCTTCAAGATGATCCGAGCTGATACTTGTGAATAAAGCACGTACATACACTTTCAATATGTGCATAAAACATACTTCAGCCTGGATACAACATAAGTTAATTATTTGCTCAGACCTCAACAAGGAGCCTCAGCACAATAATCTTCAACTTTGTGCCTTGCATATCTGGGCGCCGAGGGGCACAGTGACAGCTGTTCATCACGACGACAGTAATACAAGACGTTTCTATCTCTCCACACCATCAATTTGCCAAGCCTGGACATTGATTTATTCATAGCCATCAGTATGCATCATTTGTCCAAATTACAGAGAGGAAATATTGACAGAAGATAAATAAAAGATAAACTGAGTCACTTTGGACAGTGTCAGATACATCTGATTTCTGTACAACCCATTATAAACAAACCGAAACAATACCAAAAGACATCAGCTGATAACTAAAGTCATTTGCCAGAAATGAATTCACAATTTAAGGATAAAAGCACCAACATCTTACTCATCTCTACCTGTATTAAATACCAATATAGACAGAATGTCAAACTGTAAAATTCCTTGGCAACCTAAAGCCTGCATTTCCAGGCTGAAGGCATTGCTGACAGCAGATATCAGCTGCTGCATGACAAACAGATCATGCAAATGACCTCTGATGGATTCAGAAGCGGGGATCTTACGGTCTATCTGTCCACACCTGTGCTACATGGAAATGAGATTTTAATTCAACCAGACCACCTGATAACAGCAAAACACTGACTGAGGGTCTGAGAAGCTGCCATCAAAGATATATTTATATATTAGGTATCATCTTTTGAGTATCATGATCCATCACTTTACCAGTTTTTGCATCTTCCCAGCTGCCTATAAGGCAGAGCTTGGATCTCATCAATAATGCAACGAAACATTATGTTTATGCAATTCACACAATGACAGAGCACTAGTACACTATAGTGATTGTAGCCACATACTGACAACGTCCCTACAAGCATACAACAGCTTGTGCCCACTAAAAAGCATGATGAGAGTTATTTAGGTTAAAATACATAATAGACTATAGTATAGAGAGTGTAAAAAGGCAATAAATACTCACCTTTTGATTCTGTTTTGTGCAGCCTCTTATCGCTTCATGGTAGCACAGCACACAGGAAAAATAACTGTAGTGCCATGGTGATATGCAAATTAATGGATCACGCTGAATACAAGGACATTTATTATTCATAAATTACTCATGTTTATGCAAATTAGGTTACACTACCCTACTCAAACAGGAGGTTGGTAATTTATTCTGTCTTGCTTCATAAGCTTCAGTGGCTTTTTAAAAAGGCAAATATCTGATCTAACACGGTTATTCATGTTAAAAAAGTAAATTGTCATCAACATACATTTTTATCAAAAGCTTTTATTTTTGTGTAAAAATAAGTCGTTTAACAAGGTTCAAACATTTAAACCAAAATCTTAGGACAAATTAAACCTTAATAATGTAATACATATTGATGAAACTGAAAATCTGGGTTAAAAAAAAACAAAAAAAAACTACTTGATGGAACCACGTTTCCAACTTACTGTAGGGCAGGGATCCTCAAATCTGGCCCACGAGATCCTCTTTCCTGCAGAGTTTAGCCCTAACCCTAATCAAACACACCTGAGCATCCTGATCAATGTCTTCAGGATCAATAGCAAATCACAGGTAGGCGAGTTTGATCAGGGTTGGAGCTAAACTCTGCAGCGCATTGGCCCTCCAGGGCAAAATTTGAGGAACCCTGCTGTAGTGGAATGGGTTATAACCATAAACACTTGGCGCCCCCATGTGGTCATCTGAGAGAGCGTCTGTCCCGTTATGATTGTGCGGAAATAAACAGTTATATTTACACTACAAATTGGACCAGTCTCTAAAAATCGACAAGACACATCAGTCCATATGCATGTTAGGCTTGAAAACCGTCACAGAACTTCTCAAAACATTATCAACCTCTTTTTCAAATTGATGAAGAAGTTTAAAGTCGCAGAATCCTCTGTACAGTAACCCAGTGGCCAGTGTTTTCATAGCCTTCTTCATTTGCCACAGTGAAGGTACCGTGACCGTGTGTAAATCCCCGTTAAGCTCAGCCGTGACCACTGCCGGTTCAAGTTTCGGAATGTCTAGATCCGTTAGTGAGTCACTTTCATCGTTAGACTGGTCCGTTATGCGCTCATCAGATTGTTGGAGAACACGATCGGACGCACTTGTGTCCTCAGTTTGGTCGCTTTGTGGATTTTCTGAACCCTGGTCGAGCTGGAACATCTCTCGTGTTTTGAAGCGTGTCGTCAACCACTCTGTGCTCGCCCTGGAATTACAGACACCCATTTCTGTAGCCATTTGAGTCGCTTTTTTACGAATCGTTGAATCAATACTTAAACTACTTCAGTCTGTGTGCATTGAATTTATTTAATATACGAGTTTCACAATTTGAGTTGAATTACTGAAATAAATGAACTTTTCCATGACATTCTAATTTGAGAGGCACCTGTACCGCAATTCCGTCCTCACTAGAAGTATCGATCCACCTCCAGAGTGCAGCTTCGACTCGAGGCGTCTTGCGAGATGGAAAGACAGTCCTAGAAAGGGTCGACTTGGCATTTTTAATATTCCTTTTTCGAAGCCAGACGCAAAGCAGAGGCCCTGATGTTGAGCAAACGTTGGTCATATTTCTCGAGTATACGCTTCCTTTCCTGAATTGGTCTACGTTAAGTATTTCCTCGTGGCCATGTTCTTCTTCTTAGAAGTGATGGGGATTTGAACTCTGGCGGCGATTCTTTTAAGTCGAATCTTTTCAGTGAATCGGTTGAACCGGTTCGTACACGAATGGCCTCTTGTGCAGTTAGTGACTGCGGTCAAGCCAGCCGCCAAGTCGAAAAGCACGGTCAATCTAGCCGCCACGTTATTTCGAGGGTCGCGCATAAACTGCCTATTACGGTAAAACCATCAGAGAACTGATCTGAATGCAGTGCTCCTCATCCAGCGAACGCGATTCCCCCCCAACACACAGTCAGTAACTGTCTGATGTTGAATACCAAAATAAAAGCCCTCCAATACTCATATTACAAAATAAGAGCAAGAATATACGCTTGCTGCATCTCTACATTCAAAAAGCTATAAAAATAAAAGCTCTGGATTGCACAGACCAGTTCCACCTCAGATTGAGAGTACACCTTCCCACGATGTCAGCTGCGTCGTTTCAGGACTGTCTGATTTGGAATTACAAAATAAGAGCTCCCACAACTTCTATATATATGCAGTTTGGTCTACATTCAAAAAGCTATAAAAATAAAAGTTCTAGATTGCACAGACCAGTTCCACCTCAGATTGAGAGTACACCTTCCCACAGTGTCAGCTGCGTCGTTTCAGGACTGTCTGATGTGGAATTACAAAATAAGAGCCCCCACAACTTCCATATATATGCTGTTTTGTTTCTAATTTCAAAAAGCTATAAAAATAAAAGTTCTGGATTGCACAGACCAGTTCCACCTCAGATTGAGAGTACACCTTCCCACAGTGTCAGCTGTGTCGTTTCAGGACTGTCTGATTTGGAATGACAAAATAAGAGCTCCCACAACTTCTATATATATGCAGTTTGGCATTGATGATGTAACAGTCACAAAGACCATCACTGTCCGGGCCAACCAGAAGCCGTGGCTAACAGGGGAGGTCTACGGACTCCTGAAGACGCGGAACGCTGCCTTCAGAGCTGGAGATGAGGTGGGCCTGAAGACAGCTAGGGCCAACCTATCCCGCGGCATCAGAGAGGCTAAGTGACAGTACTCCAGGAGGATAGCCCATCATTTCAGCGACTTACTGACTGTGTGTTGGGGGGGAATCGCGTTCGCTGGATGAGGAGCACTGCATTCAGATCAGTTCTCTGATGGTTTTACCGTAATAGGCAGTTTATGCGCGACCCTCGAAATAACGTGGCGGCTAGATTGACCGTGCTTTTCGACTTGGCGGCTGGCTTGACCGCAGTACGTAGAGACGCTCCGTCTGTGTCTGTGTATCAAGGATGGTCGTACAAATATCAAATGGTTTTAAAAGATTGAGCTATTGATCTCCTTCAGAAATTTCTGGACGGCCACTGCCCTGCTGAGTGTAGCTCCAATACACCCTGCTGGACGTTTCTAGTAACGTTAATCCTCAAGACCCTGATTAGCTGGCTCAGGTGTGTTTAATTAGGGTTGGAGCTAAACCCCTAGGGCATCAAGTGAAATAATTGCTGAATTGTTTGTTTGAACTGGATCTTTTAAACAAACTGTTCAAAAGAGTCGATTCACAGAAATGAGCCAGACTCGTGTGAGTGAGGAACACAATCGACATCATCCAAAGGCGACTAAAGGTGGCGTGATTAATACGCGACGGTTCTCGCGCATGTCTACTGTTGAAACCTTGGTTTAAACAGATCAATAGCTCAATCTTTTAAAACCCTTTGATATTTGTACGACCATCCTTGATACACAGACGGAGCGTCACTGCCTGCCCAAGAGGGTGAGATTGAAATAGTTCATCCTTAGGATGAACTGTAATTATAATGAGATCTGAAAACATTGTTTAGTTAACTGCCTCGGTAACGCAATACAATAACTTGAATACTAGTAATTCGTGAGTAGTAGAATTCTATGTGTATACTCGTCTGCTGCCTACTGGACTTCTGCACGAGAGCTAAATGCACGGATCTGGTGTGTAATCATAGTTGTATTCTTCTAATCCACAGCCTTGCATTCAAGATGTATCACAACAGCTCTCAGAAGAAATTCTGGACTTATGATAAAGAGGAAACCCTAGATAAATTAAGACTAGAAGCTAATCGGAAGTTTTGTTTAAAAGGCATGTCCAGTGGTAAGGTAAGTGGCACCTGCAGGGATTCTCTATATGTATTTATTTTACATGAAGTCTACAAAATATACTTTTATCTACCTATCTATCATACAGTAACCCAGTCATTTATAGTGTTATCAGCATAAACATCAATCACACTTTGACTTTATCTGTTTTTCAGCCTGGAATAAATGAATCCAGGTTTCTTGATGATCAAGAAGAGAAAGTGCTTTTCAGACACTATGAAAAGAGATTGCTAGACTTCTGCGCTATGTTCAAGCCTGCGATGCCTAAATCTGTTGTGGTAATACATATCACTTTTATCAGTTAAAGATGAGATCATCTAGCGTGCCGTTCTTGCTTTTTTTATTTTTAAACTTCTATATGTTTTTCAGGGCACAGCTTGTATGTATTTTCGAAGATTCTATTTGAACAACTCTTTAATGGAGTATCACCCTCGGACGATAATGTAAGTGTACTGATTTGAGTGATATATATATATATATATACGATCCTGAGTTATTAGAGTTGTGACCTTCAAGTCCTACTTTTGCAGGTTGACATGCTCATATCTCTCCTGTAAAGTGGATGAGTTTAATGTGTCCAGCACTCAGTTTGTGGAGAACCTTCAGGAGAGCCCTGCAGGACAGGAGAGGGCTCTAGAACAGATTCTGGAGTACGAGCTGCTTCTCATCCAGCAGCTCAATTTTCACCTGGTTGTTCACAATCCTTATCGGCCCTTGGAGGGCTTTCTGATTGACCTGAAGGTGAGGCTAAAGCCTGGTTGTAGACAGTCCCGCCCCTTGTTTGGGCCAATGTTATGATGTCTGGCTGCTCAAACATTTTTAACAGATTATTTAACTGAATTTAAGTGCATGGTTTCTGTATTCTCAGACCAGATACCCATTGTTAGAAAACCCAGAGATGCTGAGAAAGAGTGCAGAAGACTTTCTCAACAGAGCAGCAATGACGGATGCTGGACTCCTCTTCTCTCCGTCTCAGATCGGCCTCACTGCCGTCCTCAACAGTGCTGCACGTGCTGGCCTCAAGATGGAGGCGTAGGTTCCTCCTTCAGCATTCAGAGATTCTAGCAGTTGAGATGGTAGGACGTTAAAAAGTATTTTCTTTGACATTAACAGATATTTGACCGAATGCATGGGGCTTAAGGAGGATAAAGAGACCCTCTCAAAGATGTATGAGTCAATGAGACGTAAGTATTTTTCTTTTCTTTTTTTTTTAACTGTTAAAATGTCTCTAAATAAGAGATGAATAACTCTGAACACTTCTGCAAAACTGTCATAAAAGGTCTCAGATATTCAGTGGGTAAATCTGTGGCCTATAACTTCATCAAAGTTATTTTATGAGAGGTTTATCTCCTGAAAGATCCATTTTGTTGTGAAATGCCATTTTGAAGAATAAAGACTCATTCGAACCCTTCCATACTTTAACCCTATGAAGACTTCATGCACACTACTCAAAAGTCTAGAATAATTTGACTGAATTTATATTTCTAGTGATAATAAAAACCTTTTGATTTAAAGACTTAAATGGCCAACAGACTCGTTTTAACACTGAAGACTGGAGTAATGGCTGCTGAAGATTCAGCTTTGCATCACAAGAATAAAGTACATTTGAAAATGTATTAGAATTAGTTTATTTTAAATAATTATTTTCAAAATTGTACTGTTTCACTCTGTTTTGATTAAATAAATGCAGCCTTTGTGAGTGAATTCTTTCAAAAATATAGAGAAAAACTTGCCAACGTAGTGTACTGTATATCCATACATCAGAAGTTTTGATTTGTTGTGTGTTGTGCAGAATAGTAACTTATTGGGCAAACCAGTTATTTGGAAGCTTGCTGTATTAAGGACAACTTTTGTCATCAAAGATTATTATTTACCTGTTATTGGTCATTAAGGATATAAATGTACAGTGTGGACCATAATATTGTGTCTGTTTTCATTATAGGGATAACTAGTCTTATTAAAGCATACGAGCTTCCCAAAGCTGAGGAGGTCAATACCTGCAAACAGAAACTGGAAAGGATTCATGCTGAATTTGCTACAAACTTGTGAGTATTTGTTGGAAAATGTAAAATCAATGATACGACCCTTACAGTTCTAATCCGATCGGTCTGTTTAAAAAGCACACAAAATTAATTGTACTAAGAGTTTTATTCAGCCAGGTTAGTAACTTTTTGTTTTGTATCTAAGATGCAAAAGTTGTGGTTTTGGAGTATAAAATAGAAAAATAAAAATACATGAGCTGAGTGATATACACACACACACACACACACACACACACACACAAAGGTAAATCTGCATCATACTTTTCATAGATTTGCATTTAGAAATGCAGCTGTACACGGAATGAGTACAACGTGAGCCGTTTCATGTCAGGTGTAGTGAATATAAACCTTCTTACACTAACATAAATGTATCCCCATGTTTTTGGGACATGGCACAATGGTTAATCCAGACTTGTACTATGGTAATCACTGATTACAATGATGTATATCAGAGTACCATGGTATCGCCATCTCCGTTGTACAATGGTACCACTGCCGTCCAGGAGTCAGAGAGTACAGGACAATGCATCTACTTGTCAAATCGATCAAATTTGACATTAAAAAAACATAAACTGTAGATAAGTTTTGAGGTTTTACATAATTCAAGGAGTAATAATACACATCAAGAAACAGCCAATTTAACTGAGTTTGATTAACACAAACAGGCTGATATAATAAAATATATAGTTTTCTAGTCAGTAGGTATTGATGGTTGACTTTTGTGATGTGAAATAAACCAGGAAGCCCAAAATCGACTTGCCCCATTCTGGGGAAAAGCTTTAAAATTAATTTGAGCTCGGGTTTGTTGCCATTGTAGGTTAGGTGGAAGAACAGGGGGCAGGTTATTAAAAGTGGACGCATGCATCAGCCTTGTGTAATCTATCCTCCAAAATTGAATCGGTCTCACTGATCTGCTCATGTATCTCATACAAACACTGGTTTTGAGATACAAGCCAGGATGCAGCATCTTGTCAAGCGAAGCAGCTCAGAAGGTAAGATAGGAATCTTTAGGATCTAAGCCTACCTGCATCTGAAACCGCAGCTGAAAACAGGAAGAGGTTGTGCGGTAGAATTGAGTGTAGAAAGTTTAAGGCTTGCACCATAAGTGCATCTCGCTTTCCTGATGGCCAAGAGCAATGCAGTGCCAAAGTTCTTGCTTGCTACAGATGCCAGTCAGTCTAGGGCTCACGGCTCCCAGGTTGGTTGTACCAGCGGTATCAATCGAACATCCAAGTTGATTTTGCAGCATTTCAGATTTACACTCAATTTTGGTTATTCTGTTGAAGATTCATGATTTTCAGTGTAGGGAGATCCAATAGATAATTTCTACGAAAATAACATCTCTACACATCTCTTTGATGGCTCAATTTTGAATCTGTTGGTTTGAGAGATTGAGATTGGCAATGTGTTGCCTAACTAGAGTCAAATCATCCACCATCTTCCTTTGCATCTGGGGAGAACGAGTCTTGCTGTCTTTGCTACCAATCTTTTCTTTCAGAGGATCTGGATAGTGGTTGCTACAGCCATAAAGGTACATTCAGTTCTGCAAAATAAAGACAAAATTGGGCATGGTGACCTTTCAGGATTAAAGGCATGGTTCACCCAAAAAAGAAAATTCTGTGTCATTAATTACTCACTCTCATGTCGTTCCAAACCCGTAAGACCTTCGTTCATCTTCGGAACACAAATTAAGATATTTTTGATGAAATGTGAGAGCTCTCAGACCCTGCATAGACCGCAGCGCAACTGTAATGTTCCCAGGTCCAGAAACGTAGTAAGGATATCGGTAAAACAGTCCATGTGACATCAGTGGCTCATCTTAGCTACGCTATACGTTTTGAGCGTGAAGAAAACAAAAATAACATAATTTATTTAACAATTCTTCTCCCTTGAATTACGTCTTCCGCCATTTTAGAGTATTACAATGCATAAGTACGCTTTCCCCTAAGTGTAAACCACGCTGATTACGTTCATGCACACGCTTTCTCCTCCGAACGTAAACAATGCTGATTACATCGATTACGTTCTTGGGTACTCTCCAAAATGGCGGAAGACGTAACTCGGGGGAGAAGAATTGTTAAATAAATTAGTATTTTCTTTGCGCTCAAAGTATTCTCGTAGCTTCGCAAAACTGAAGTTGAGCCACTGATATCACATGGACTGTTTTACCGATGTCTTTACTACATTTCTGGACCTGGGAACATTACAGTTGCGCTGCTGTCTATGCAGGGTCTGAGAGCTCTCACATTTAATCAAAAATATCTTAATTTGTGTTTTCCGAAGACGAACGAAGGTCTTACGGGTTTGAAACGACATGAGGGTGAGTAATTAATGACAGAATTTTTATTTTAGGGTGGACTAACCCTTTAAGTCTTGAGGGATTGATGGTAAGCTATAAGAAATGTAAGGCTCTTTCAGAAGGCCATGGCATTGTAATGCCTACATGCTATTGATCATCTTGATCTTCACACTGTGGGCACAGAATTTCTTCTAGTTCACAACAGTTATAAGTCTGTTATTTCTGTTGAGGCTACAGTTAAAGAACAAATTGATACGGACGGAAACTACATATAATTTGGAACTACACAGTTATGAGCTACAATGATGCACAAGATCGCATGCTTAGATGTGTGTGAGAGTGATGGGTCACCAAAGACAGTTACTAAATGAATGCAGTCTTCAGATGATAAGTTTATGGTTCTGATGCTTTCCTCTGTCCATGTCCTTCAGAAAAAGAAAACATGGATATGAAGATGATGATCACATCGTGAAAAGGCAGATGGTTGCTGAGGAAGTAAGTTTATTTGAAGATCATTTGTTCCTCAGATGCACATCTTCTGGCTACCGCTTGAAGCTTACGGATTTTCTGTTTTGCAGGAGTGGACTGATGAGGATTTTGATGCATTGTGATGATGAAGTTGTTTTAAAATTGGCAACATCCTCGACCGTTATTTCATGAACAGGCTGAGTTATTCCATTTGCCATCACTGACAGAGGATGCCCTTCTCAAACTAGATTGTAAATATTTCCGCAAAATGTAATGTAAATCTTTTTCTTCTGTAAAAATAAAACTTTTTTTTTTTTATTCTCATAATTGTTGGGTTATTTTATTAACACACTATTACCATGAGCACAGAGCATTTACACTACTGTTCAAAAGCTTGGGGTCAGCAATTTAGTTTCAGAACGCTTTTCAGCAAGGATGCATTACCTTTATCAAAAGTGACAGTAAAGACATTTATGCTTCAAAAGATTTGTTGAATATACTGTTCTTTTTAACCTTTTCCTCAAAGAATCCTGAAAAAATGTACCACCACAGGTTCCACATAAATATTATGCAGAACAACTGTTTTCAACTGATGATAAACATATTCATTTTTTTATTTATTTGAGCAGCAAATCAGCATATTAAAATTATTTCTGAAGTATCATGTTACACTGAAGACTGGAGTAATAATGCTGAAAATTACATTTTAAAACAAGTTAATTTCACAATCCTACTGTTTTTTTTTTTTATTAAACTTCTCAAATGTTACTAAAAATCTAAACCTTTTGAATGGTAGTTCAAATCCACTGGATGAGCAACAACTGCCTGCAACTTCAATTACTGCTGTAAAAACAGTACTTTTTTTTTTTTACAGCCTTTAATCATTTAACAGACATCTTACAAGACACACACACAGTCTCCCTACAGAAAAGTGGGGTTAAAGGGATGTTCTGGGTTATGCTCAATTGACACGTCACAAATTCTGTTGATAACCATAATAATGGTTCTTTATTCAAAATCAAGAACTGAAAACAGACAAACACTAGAATATTTTTAGAGGAGCACAATAGCCGTCTTATTTTCAAAAGCGGTTTTCACGAGCTGATCTGAGACAGTCAGTACATTATAAAACATGTTTAATAAGTGCATGCATTCCTGATACAATCTTTACTATCATAAATTTTACTGCTGTAAACATTTTTTACCTTGAAAAATTTCTCCTGAGAACATGTCTGGCTTTGAATTTGTCTCAGGGAAGACTGAACTAATCAAACATTGTACAATATGGAAAACAAATCAGGTTACCTCAAATTATATACTCATGATTCCAGCAAGATAATTTATTGTGATATAAAATAATCATACTCTCTGAGAATGATAAAAACAAAATCCAGTCTACAGCACAATTCGAACTAAATGGAACAGGAAAAAGAACACTAGTCGGAGTACATTTAGCATATTCATAGCCATGTAAATCAGTAACAAATTACAGTATAAAAAGCATTTTAGCTCATAATCCAGTTATAAAGGAGAATCGTTGCAGCCTTGTGTCAGTTCCGTTTCAGATCAAGCAGATGAAGAGATGCACTTTGGCAACCTGTATTTAAAAACATCATTCTGTCGACTTAATGGGTCATTCGTTGGACCCGTCTGTTAGATTGATATGTACCCAAACCGAACGATCTGGTCGTGTGATTATAAAGTCATTGGTGTTAGACTACAGAGTCCAGCCGTTTTGTTTTGCAGCTGTAGTTTGCATAGTTCTCGTGGCACAGACAATGAGGCGGACGAAACGGGATGATGGAAGATATGTGGAGGGTGGGAGCTGGCATGGGGATGAGGGTGGAGCATGCTGGGGTCCCATTGGCTACTCCATGGAGATGGAGACAAACTGACAGACAAAATGACGGAGGTGGAACTACCTGTTGCTGTTGGATATGGCATATTGCTCCTGTTTCTGCTGGAGGAGCTCAGTGATGGCCAGCAGCTTTTTCAGCACGTGCTGTGAAGGAAGGAAAGAGCCAACAAGCAATGATTGCATTCAAATCTTTATCTGCAGGGTTAAAAAAATGGCAGAGTGAAGCCGAAGGAAATGTCTTGTTTTCTTAAGATCACAACTTGTGACGTGGTCTTGTGATGCTGACAGACATTTTCTAATCCTCTGGTGGCCTTTTCATGAATGTCTGCACCAACAATGGTGTGTTTTGCACATACGTGAGTGACATTTCAGATTTACTGAGCTTCAATGATAAATAAAAACAGCTAGATGGAGAACAACGGAACTGAAAAGAGTGCAGGGGTCTCTGGATGTTTTTCTGAGTTGACACCAACTTAAAACTGTAGCGCACATGAACTATAGGCCTCAGTAAACTTCCAAGGGAGCCTCAAGCTCACTTTAAATGATATAAAGTTAGAATAAACAATTTAAAATAATGTTTTTTTGTCTTTGATCTGAAAAAGTCATGTAAATTAAATTTTTTAAAAGCCATGCCATGCATTTTTTTTAATAACAAATACAGATTTTATAGGTATGCCCAAGCTCTAAAATATTGAATTGGGTTGAAATTATATATTTAAATATTTTTTTTTAAATCCTTATGCAGTAAATCATGAGCAACTGGAAAAATCATGTATATTCATGTATTGAAAAGAATTTGAAGAACATTAAGCTATTAAAACTAGAATCCTAAATGTATTTAATTTGAATTATAACTCTTTTGGTTGCTTATTTTAATCTATGGATTCTGCTAGTTTCTGTTAAAAAAAAAATCTATAGTAGCAAATATATCATGATATTTTTGTGGACAATGGACAACTATTATAGGTCATTTTTGAACTTCTATTCAGTGCTTTACCTCTCTGCAGTAACATATATGAAATAACAATATTGGTAACACTACAATAAGGTAATGTATTAACTAACAAATTCTGTTGATAACCATAATAATGGTTCTTTATTCAAAATCAAGAACTGAAAACAGACAAACACTAGAATATTTTTAGAGGAGCACAATAGCCGTCTTATTTTCAAAAGCGGTTTTCACGAGCTGATCTGAGACAGTCAGTACATTATAAAACATGTTTAATAAGTGCATGCATTCCTGATACAATCTTTACTATCATAAATTTTACTGCTGTAAACATTTTTTACCTTGAAAAATTTCTCCTGAGAACATGTCTGGCTTTGAATTTGTCTCAGGGAAGACTGAACTAATCAAACATTGTACAATATGGAAAACAAATCAGGTTACCTCAAATTATATACTCATGATTCCAGCAAGATAATTTATTGTGATATAAAATAATCATACTATCTGAGAATGATAAAAACAAAATCCAGTCTACAGCACAATTCGAACTAAATGGAACAGGAAAAAGAACACTAGTCGGAGTACATTTAGCATATTCATAGCCATGTAAATCAGTAACAAATTACAGTATAAAAAGCATTTTAGCTCATAATCCAGTTATAAAGGAGAATCGTTGCAGCCTTGTGTCAGTTCCGTTTCAGATCAAGCAGATGAAGAGATGCACTTTGGCAACCTGTATTTAAAAACATCATTCTGTCGACTTAATGGGTCATTCGTTGGACCCGTCTGTTAGATTGATATGTACCCAAACCGAACGATCTGGTCGTGTGATTATAAAGTCATTGGTGTTAGACTACAGAGTCCAGCCGTTTTGTTTTGCAGCTGTAGTTTGCATAGTTCTCGTGGCACAGACAATGAGGCGGACGAAACGGGATGATGGAAGATATGTGGAGGGTGGGAGCTGGCATGGGGATGAGGGTGGAGCATGCTGGGGTCCCATTGGCTACTCCATGGAGATGGAGACAAACTGACAGACAAAATGACGGAGGTGGAACTACCTGTTGCTGTTGGATATGGCATATTGCTCCTGTTTCTGCTGGAGGAGCTCAGTGATGGCCAGCAGCTTTTTCAGCACGTGCTGTGAAGGAAGGAAAGAGCCAACAAGCAATGATTGCATTCAAATCTTTATCTGCAGGGTTAAAAAAATGGCAGAGTGAAGCCGAAGGAAATGTCTTGTTTTCTTAAGATCACAACTTGTGACGTGGTCTTGTGATGCTGACAGACATTTTCTAATCCTCTGGTGGCCTTTTCATGAATGTCTGCACCAACAATGGTGTGTTTTGCACATACGTGAGTGACATTTCAGATTTACTGAGCTTCAATGATAAATAAAAACAGCTAGATGGAGAACAACGGAACTGAAAAGAGTGCAGGGGTCTCTGGATGTTTTTCTGAGTTGACACCAACTTAAAACTAGCGCACATGAACTATAGGCCTCAGTAAACTTCCAAGGGAGCCTCAAGCTCACTTTAAATGATATAAAGTTAGAATAAACAATTTAAAATAATGTTTTTTTGTCTTTGATCTGAAAAAGTCATGTAAATTACATTTTTTAAAAGCCATGCCATGCATTTTTTTTAATAACAAATACAGATTTTATAGGTATGCCCAAGCTCTAAAATATTGAATTGGGTTGAAATTATATATTTAAATATTTTTTTTTAAATCCTTATGCAGTAAATCATGAGCAACTGGAAAAATCATGTATATTCATGTATTGAAAAGAATTTGAAGAACATTAAGCTATTAAAACTAGAATCCTAAATGTATTTAATTTGAATTATAACTCTTTTGGTTGCTTATTTTAATCTATGGATTCTGCTAGTTTCTGTTAAAAAAAAAATCTATAGTAGCAAATATATCATGATATTTTTGTGGACAATGGACAACTATTATAGGTCATTTTTGAACTTCTATTCAGTGCTTTACCTCTCTGCAGTAACATATATGAAATAACAATATTGGTAACACTACAATAAGGTAATGTATTAACTAACATGAACAAACAATGAACAATACATGTATTACAGTATTTATTAATCATAGTTATTGAAAATACAGTCGTTCATTGTTAGTTCACAGTGCATTAACTAATGTTAACAAGCACAATTTTTTAATGATTTTAATAATGCATTAGTAAATGTTAAAATTAACATTAGCTAAGATTAATGAATGCTGTTCATGCTTAGTTCATGTTAACTAATGTAGTTAACTAATGAACCTTATTGTAGTGTTAACACAATATTTAATAACACATACAATAACACAATTATTTCCATTTCAGGGCTTTTCTGAACAAATGTTGATGTGTGATTAAATTGACAGGCCTGATAAATACATTTGCTTTATGAAGGCATTTTCCATAAAAGTCCATTGATAACGTGAAAATAAAACAATAAAAAAATAATGCAATCTTTGTGGGTTTCTAC